AGCACTCTACCACTTGAGCCACAGCGCCATTTCTGGCTTTTTTCTTTTTGCTTATATGGTGCTGAGGAATCAAACTCAGGGCCTCATGCATGCAAGGCAAGCTCTCTACCACTGAGCCACCTTCCCAGCCCATCTTAAGACTCTTATCTCCAGTTAACCACTCGGAAAACTAGAAGTGGCGCTGTGGCTCAAGTGATAGAGCACTTGCCTTGAGCTGAAGAGCTGAGGGACAGTGCCCAGGCCCAGAGTTCAACCCCCACAACCCACACACACAAAAAAAGATTATTATTACATGTTAAAACACTCAGCTTGGGGCTGAGAAGGTGGCTCAGTGGTAGAGCGCTCACCTTGCATGCATGAGGCCCTGGGTTCGATTCCTCAGCACCATATAAGCAGAAAAAAAAAAAAGCTTGAAGTGGCGCTGTGGCTCAAGTGGTAGAGTGCTAGACTTGAGCTGAAGAGCTGAGGGACAGTGCCTAGGCCCAGAGTTCAGGCCCCACGGTCAGACCCTCCCCCCCCCCCCCGAAAAAAAAAACAAAAAACACTCAGCTTTAGCCAGGCGCTGGTGGCTCACGCCTGTAATCCTAGCTACTCAGGAGGCTGATATCTGAGGATCACAGCTCAAAGCCAACCCAGGCAGGAAAGTCCGTTAGACTCTTATCTCCAACAAACCACTAGAAAACTGGAAGTGGCCCTGTGGCTCAACTGGTCGAGCACTAGCCTTGAGTTGAAGAGCTCAGGGACAACATCCAGGCCCAGAGTTCGAGCCCCATGACTGACAAAAAAAAAGAAAAAGAGCTTGGACTCTTGTCTTATCTTAGGCTCATAGCAGCCTGTCATTTCAGGCTATCCTGTCATTTGGTGGAGAAGCAGCCAAGGCTCAGAGAAGTTAGAGTATTTGCTAGGGTGGCACAACTAGGAAGGTCAGCATGAGGATGTCGCTCGCTCTCTCCACTGCCTTGGCTGGGTAGCAGTGGGGAGGCTTGGTCACTTCTTGGTGTTCATGGAGGGGAAGGGTGAAGGAGGACAGGGGAAGGGGGTTTGGCTGCTAAAGGGAGAGGTGTATTCAACTGGAGGCTGGGTAGCCTGGAGTCAGAAGGTTGGCAATTGGGCTCAGAAAGAGCTTGGAGAATCAGGATTTCAAAGTACCTGGGGAGAGACAGGCTGTGTGGTTAGGAGGTAAGCAGAAGTGTAATCTTGAGTAATGGTACCAGGTGACCCAGCCCTAGGTGGGACCTCTTCCCTCAGAAGGGAGACTAGTGAGAGAAAACTGGCTAATGAACCTCGGCTTGGCTGAGGAGGGTGGGACTTACCAGGGATTGATGGGGTTAGTGACTCTGGAGCGCCAGAACAGAGTTTGCAGGTCCTGCCGCAGGCACTCCCATAGCATCTGACCAGAGCCTTGGCCCTGGCGGCTGGAGCCCACCACGAATTTGTCCAGGTACGGGGTGCCCCCCAGAACTGGTTCTACTGTCAGAATGGCGGCAGCATTGTACCTGGTGAAGTGGGAGAGGCAGGCTGGAACGGCTTCCTTGGCCGGCCCAAAGCTGCCCAGTTTGGTCCCTGCACCCTAGGGCCCCCATGCTCACCCCTCAGAGACATAGACGGAGTGCAGTCGCGGGCGCAGCGAGTCTAGGTAGTCGTCCCGGAGCTTCTTGCCAAAGCTGGTGTTGACTAGATTCACTAGGCGGTCCTGGTCCAGGTGGTGCAAGTTAAACACTCGCAGCATTCTCTCGGCATTTTTGAACAGGGTGCCGGAGCCTGGGGGGAAAAACAAAGAGGGCCTTAGAGGTTGGCCTAGTGCCCATCCCTTTCAAGGTGTGACCTGTTTTGGGCTGTAGACAAGAGGATGGTTGGGATAATATCCCTTGGGGGACCCCAGTGAAATGATTGGTGTGGTCTGCAGAGATTTTCCCAGGCAGGTTTTGTCTTCCAAGTTCTACCCATCACCAGTAGTCCTTCCTGTTTTCCATAGTCCGGCTTCTCTCCCTAAATTTTGTTATCTCTACCCCCCCCTTGTCCCGCCCACCACCTCTTCCTCTCCAGTCCCAGCTCCCCTAAGTCCCTTCCCCCTGTGGTCCGCCCACCTAGGCCGCGCACACCTGACCATTTCTCCACTCAAGTCCAGCCCTTCAGGCTTCAGTCCGCCCAAGGTCCAGGTCTCAAACGGGTTGCATCACCAATGGGTCTCTGCCTTTCTCACCTCCCCTAGTTTCGGCCGGGCTGGAAGCCACTACTCTGGCCTCCCCCTGTGTTCTCCGGGCTGGCCTGGAAACCACGGCTCCTGCTCATGTCCGGCCTGTTCCTCGGGCTCACTCC